AAGAAATATAATAGTACCAGACCAAGTTATATTAAAATACAATTAAAGATTTTACTCTTAACCAGAAACACCAAATAATAATAGATGCTAAATCAAGGTTTGTAGGCCTTACTCCTTAGGTTTGCAAAAACACTATAAGTTAGAAAATCTAGTATCATTAATTAGTGCTCTTTGAATTAATGAATCCTAGGCACAAACTACTCCATTTATTATTATAAAAATTATCAAATTTCAAATATTGTAATCCCTAATGCAAACCAGTAGCTTCATTGAATCAACAGAATTATATCAATGGTAGAATGGCAATTATTCATCAGCAATTCAACCTACTCATCATTTCTGAGGCAGTAGCATTTAATTTTTCATTTGGTAGGTATCAAAAGTATCCCTATTAAGTTAAATTAAGTAATTAATATCACAATAAAGTTATCCCTCAATGAAGGTTTGAACTTGACTTGGTTTGCCAAACACAGGAAGGTAACACTGAAAAGGTCAAAATTTAAAGTAATAATGCTAAAAATAAACAAAACACTGAAAATTAAACTTGATTAATTTATCCTCTGCCTCCGACTTCCAGATTTACTTGTTAGCTGAAGAAGAAGGTTCTTCTAGGGCCTGCCATATTAAATGGTCTAACTTCTTGTTAATCAAGTTCTAAATTTATTGACAACAAAAATATCGACCCTGGGCATTCCAGTGTACACCATCAGCTTTCAAGTTTCTCGAAATGGTTTTGCATTGAAATGAATGTAATTTCTGGTTCTTTTATTTTTACGTTGAATTCTCCTATTCACCGATTGTGATACTGATTTATAGGTTTCCTCTGATACTCTGGCTGTAAGAGGCAGGAGTCGGGGTTCCAGTAAAGTGATGGCCACCATCGAATTGAAGGCCCTGTAGGGTATCGAGATATTAATGTTGTCTAACCAGAGATGGAAGGAAACTCTAATGTGGTTTTCTTTGTATAACAAATAAGTTATATGATAGACAGTCTGGTGCTGGAGATGCCGTGTGGTGGGGAGCTGCTCAGTAGAAGACGTTCGGTGAGTAGCGTGTTGAAGGAGATAGAAGTGCAGGAGCTTGTTAGAGAAGATGTTGCCTGTTGCTGGCCTCCTGGTTGAATGAAATGTTAACAGCGGAGCTTGCTGGAGGAGATGTTGCTTGTTCAGAAAAATGGGCAGAAGGAGAGTTGGTTGGTAAGGAAGCTCAGAGAAGGACAGCTGGTGGGTCGCCAGGCCCGCTGGCGGAGCGAGGACCGCCAGGCAGGCGAGGAGGAGCTAAGGCAGCCAGGCAGCGCGGAGGAGGAGGTGTTGCTAGTTCAAGAAGAATGGTCAGAATGAATCTCAATGGAGAGACAGAGCTTATATACACCCAGCAGCAGCCGCCAGTCCTCTATGAGTCATGTTGGGAAAACCCGAGAAGTCGCCGGTGAATAGTTTCGTTGCTAAGATACCTAACATCTGGGGACAGCTCGCTAGTATGCAGGCAACGGCACGTTGGAATGTGATAGCAGGTGGTGCCTGCTACGCAGTTTGTAGGGGAGACGTCCACTACAGCCCCTTCTATTTTGTCTACTACCTTGAATATTGTATCAGAGATTTCATTGGGAACCACGTCCTGTAGACATCATTTCCTCCCAGGAGGAGAATGTGAAGTGGTGAGGCCACTCTAGTACCGAATTAAGACGACCATCTTGGTCGAACTGAGTTACTCCTTCCGAGGGGCCCCAAAGCACCGTGACTGCGAGAGATTTAGAGTATGATAAGTAGGAACCTTAAGCAAAGTAAACAATGTGTTTTGCTCGTAACAAGGCTAATAAAGTACTTAGGTTCATACAGAGTGTTAGTTACAAGACTAGTGAGGTCATCCTAAAACTGTATCTTGCACTTGTGAGACCACACCTGGATTAAGCAGTTCAGTTCTGGTCACCGTATTACAGAATGGATATAGAATCACTGGAAAGAATACAGAGGAGAATGACAAGACTAATCCAGGGCATTAGCAACCTTGAGTATAGAGACAGGTTAAAGCATCTTAATTTGCACCTCGAGAGACGAGAGCGAGGGGCGACCTGATAGCGGTATAAGTGGAAGCCAGGACTAAACAAAGGGACACTACAAAGGTACCAAAACTATCCAACCAGGAGCGAACTCAGAACAATGGTTTTAAATTAGACAAATTTAGATTTAGGCGTGAAATAGGTAAACACTGGTTTGGAAACAGAGTAGTGGATGAATGGAAAAGTTACCAAATATCATCATTAACTCGAATGCTGAATAGCTTAAACATAGGTTGATGCTTATATGAGCAATAGGGTTGGGTGTAAACGGGACTGCCCAGTGGGCCAACAGGCTGGCTGCAGTTTCCTCCATTCATATGTTTTATGTTCTTATCTCGCAGTCCGGTATCTCTAATGTGAGTTAGGCTATACCACGATTGCTACCTTGAACATATACCTATATTCTAGCCCCCAGTTCTCGCTGGGGCACCATGTACAGTAGATATTAAATCTAAGTTATTAAAATATAATATAATATAATTACCTAAGCTAGCCCTGTAAGCTTAAAATAGCGGTACCCAAGAATAAGTGATCACCAATGTACTTAGCTATTATTTTAGGGCGGCTATGAGTTGTAGAGAGTCTTGAGTTGCCAGCTGTCTTCTACATTTTGAGAGTCGCGTCTGCCTCCCGTGAAGTGTGAATTGAGATTGGCGTTTTCGTTTTGTACAATTGGTGACAACAATCGCGCAATGATACATAAACAATATCTAAATAATTATTGTAATTTTTTTACAATACTATTTCGTAATAGAAATACATATTTACATTTTTAGTAAACTATTGTTATATCGTGTAAATTTAACGATTTTAACGTGATAAATAGAGAAAGAGGATTACCGCAATACTTTCCGTGAAATAATCCGTCTTTCGCATGCCAACTAGTGTTTTTACAAAATTTTTGTACACCTCGTAATCATCTCCTTAACCTAACTAGCTAATTAAATCATTAATTTATTAGCAAATAATTTCACATATTCCACATTGGATTGTTATTCCAAGTTCAATAACACACAAGATCACTACTACGGTGCTTCAAGGACCTGGAGGATAAAGGTGGAAATTAATCTCACATCATCAGTCCAAACACTACCTCAGTAGTAGCTACCAACGCGCCACAGGACAACAAAACAATCCTTGGCTTTGTTATATTCCACACAAAGCAGCGATCCTGTTCACATGCAGAGGTCTCGGGTTTGATTCCGACTCTGTGAGGTATTGTCTGTAATAGTGTAGTCCTCGTGTTATATGGACTGATGAGATACATATGTAGGCCTCGTGTTTCCTAGCGATTCGGTAAGATGCTTCCTCCGACCACATAGTTGGCATGGGCAACCTCCAATGGAGGTTCACAGCTTAACAAGCACGATGAAAAAGGTATTGTGTGAATATAACAAAGCTTGGGAGTGCATTTGGTGTAGAACCATAAAGAAATGCAAAAATTAAAAAAAATCAAAAGTGAGAAACAATATATGTATGTTGTGTTGTCAATAGCAAGAGAATCAATTGAAACCCTGCCTGCAATTGTGTGTAAATGAGGCAGAAGTCAGATCAGCAACCTGGGACTTGGTCATAATTTTCGTGATGCCATATGGCAGCAGGGTCTACCATTAGACAACAGATTATGCTTGCAATATCTTCCCAGGCCGTAGTACCTCCCTGTTTGGTAGCTGCTTACTACCTAAAGGGCAATAAAATAAAAAATACTATTCTATTCTTTTCTCAGGTTTTTGGCTACTGCTTATGTGCTGGACAGTATTTCATTAATAAAAGTTTTGTTATTAAAGTATTATGTTCTTTGACTTTTCCTTTTTTTATTCACGGTTTCTGTGCTAGTTCATATTTATTTACTAAAGTGATTAATGTTTTAATGCAAATGCTATTGAAATATGAATGGCAAATGAACAAAAATGAATAGAGGGACTTAAATGAGGTAGGTTAAGGATAGGTACTTTAAAACAGGCATGTTTTATTTCCGTAGACTTTATTTACTATTAACCTGCCTTTTGGATTATCCGTTTGCCCCTTACCCCCATATGTGGGCGGTTAATCGAAGTTTTACTGTATGTATGTTGTATTGTCAAAATAAGAACATAAGAACATACGAAAATAAGGAGTCTGCAATAGGCCGGTTGGCCTGTGCATGGCAGCTCCTGTCGAGAGTTACTACCACTCTCTATCCATGAATCTATCTAGCCTCCTTTTGAAACTTTCCAGAATTCCAGCACTTACTACAAAGTTGCTAAGCTTGTTCCACTCGTCCACCACCCTATTTGTGAACCAGTTTCTTCCTATCTCCCTCCTAAACCTAAACTTATCCAACTTAAATCCGTTGCTCCGAGTCCTATCCTGCTCGGATATTATAAGAACTTTATCTATATCCCCTTTATTGATTCCTTTCACCCACTTAAATACTTCTATCATATCTCCCCGCACTCTTCGTCTTTTTAGGGAATGCAAGTTAAGTTTCTTTAACCTATCCTGATATGGAAGGTTTCCAAGTCCCGGAATCATGTTCGTCATTCTTCGCTGCACCGACTCTAGTGAATTGATATCCATTCTATAATAAGGGCACCAGAACTGAACCGCATAATCGAGGTGCGGCCTGACTAGCGCAAGATATAGCTGCAATAAGACCTCTGCACTCTTATTACTTACACTTCTAGATATAAAACCCAATACTCTGTTTGCCTTATTTCGAACATTAACGCACTGCAATTGTGTGTAAATGAGGCATAAAGTCAGATCAGCCATATGACTCTCAGTTCACATCTCAATAACTACTGTACGTACTTCCTAACTGTAATCCAACAATGTTTATATCTTCCCCTACTCATTAAATATAATAATTTCATTTTGTAGTCGAATATGTCTAAGACCAAAAACAGCTGGCGCACAGTGGGTTATGGAGGACACAAAGGTGAAGCATATTAAAAAGACATATTTCTACTATATTTATTACTGCGCCATCAAGAATGCAGACAATGTGTCAGCCTGATTAGGAAACACGCAGAATGGAGAAAACTGTCTACAAAGTTAAGCGGTATGAAGCAGTTCTCACGATGATGTCTAGGGACAAGTCGGGACGTTTAACTAATCTCGACAAGTGCGGCGAGAGCCCCGGTGAAGGCAGCGTTGTAGGTGCAGGACACACCATTGTGAGTTATATCCTTGCGGTCGTCTGTGTAGTCACCGTTCTAGGTAGGAAGAAACCAAACTTAATTTATAGGGAAAATTATATGTATAGGGAGGGGCGACCATGTTGCAGTAATTAGTGGGAAGCTAAAAAAAAATGAGAATTACAAAAACATCCCATGCTGAGATGCTTGAAGACATGACTTATTTGTCAACTCAGTTTAATCATATTTATATGACCTGCTGGTACTAACCTCAGCTGGTCCAGCGGCGAGAGCTCCGAAAAGGACGTGGGAGTTGGGGCCGGGATTGTCAAGAGCTCCTGAACAGTCTGCTGGGGGGTTCGGGCAAGAGCTGAGAAAGAAGGTAAAAATATTGATTCACGGTTCAGATGAAGCCCATACTCATATAAAGTGGGATTAAACGTAACCAACTCATCATAAATAATGACCGGTGATGTGAAAACCAAAAAACAAATAGGCATAATAACAAATTGAGTGTGATGTATAAAATTCGATATACAATCAACAACCTCACCCGCCAAAACTCGAGCCCACAATCTTATGCGTGTGACCAGGAAATGCTACCACCATGCCACTAGAACACTAAAAGCAATTCTAGACTTTGTTATATTTCTCGGGATTGCCCGTGCCACTTAAGTGGTCAGAGTAGCATTTTACCAAATCCAGCTTCGAAACACGAGGTTCCATATATATTTCATTAATCCATATAGCACGCGGACTTCAACATATAATAAACAACCTCACCCGCCAGGACTCGAACCCTTGGCACGGGCTATTCCCAATTGGAGGTTCACGGCGCCATAAGCTCGATGAACAGGCTTTGTGTGAAATATAACAAAGTCTCGGATTGCTTTTATTGTCCAAGTGGCACGGTGGTAGCATTCCCTGGTCTAATGCATAATGGCACGTACAAACTATATAATTTTGTGATTAAGAAGATTGGTAACCAGGTGAGGAGGTTCGGTCACTCTACCTTATGACCTGAATATGTTGGACACCTGCTGTCCCTAGGGATTTCATCTCCCTCTCCTTTACTGTATACATAAGCTTTGTCAATAATTACTCCTTAGTCTGTACTCACGTGCACCTACAGTGATTTATTTGCTTATATATATATATATACAGTATATATATATATATATATATATATATATATATATATATATATATATATATATATATATATATATATATATATATTTATATATATATATATATATATGTATATATATATATATATATATATATATATATATATATATATATATATATATATATATATATATATATATATATATATATATATATATATATATATATATATACATATATATATATATATATAATATTATATACATATATAAAAAATTTATATAATATATATATATAAAATATATATACATACATACATATATATATATATATATGTGTTCAATAAAAAAACGGGGCTCTGTTGTTTCTTTTTCGCCAGGATTCGAACCCACGGCCCACGACTATGACTGGGAACGCTAACCGCTGGACCACCAGGATACTAAAGCAGTTCTAAACTTTGTTATATTTCACACAAAGCCTGTTCAACGAGCTTATGGCGCCGTGAACCTCTAATGGGGACTACCCGTATCACGTAGGTGGTCAGAATAACGTTTACTAAATCCAACTGAAACAGGATCCATATATATTTCATATGCCCAAAAGCATACGGACTTCTACATACAATCAACACCTCAACCCACCAGGATTCGAACACACGGCCCACGAGCCCATGACTGTGACCGGGGACATAACTAGTCATGTCAAGTCAGGTAAAAAATATGAGACCCACTAATCATCTATCCTACATCTACCTTAAATGCTTTTAAAGCATTTTTAACCCTGGGCCACTATTAAATAAATTGTGTAACACATTATCAGTTTTGCACTGACCATTACTAAGGTTTAAAGAATTCATTCCTCTAATCAAACTTGCTTCTTTCTGTGAAACATGATGATTTCTACACTTCTAATCTGTGTTCCTAATCTATGGGATGTTTATTGTTCCTTATATGAACGAAAAGTGCACTGCTTTCAGATGCCGTTCTAATATTGTACTTGTGCTGTTTAATTCTGAGTTTCAATGCTTTCCCAGTCTGACCTACATAATTTATATTACAATTGCTACATGAAATACAGTAAACACTTACATTTACATTCAAAGTCGGGCGATTCTTAATTAATATATTAGTAATAGTTGTGTTATACTTAAAAACAACATTAATTTTAATAATTTAAAGGAGTGTACTAACGGGACAAATTCATTGCGATAAGGTAGAGTTAAAATATTCTTAAATGTAGGAACTTGTCTAGTTTGAGTAGAATAAAAGGTTTGTTTAGCCCTCTTAAAATAACGATCAACAAGCAATGAAGGGTACCCAAGTTTTTGTGCAATGGACTGAATGTGTTGCAGTTATTCTTCAATAAATTCAGGGTCACAAATACGCAAACATCTCAAAAACATAGCAGAAAAAACTGACATCTTGTGATTCATGGTGACTCGATAAAAAATGTATGAAGCTACCTACCTGTGTAGGCTTTCTGTAAACCTTAAATTTATAGTTGATACCATTTCTCATGATAAGCATATCAAGAAATGGAAGGATCATTTATCTGTCTTTCAATTTTGAAGGTAATGCTTGGGACAAGATAATTAAACTTGTCTAAAAATTCCATTGGGTCACTGTTTCTAGGCCATAGACAAAGCACATCATCTACATTTCTATACCACCGAGGAATAAACTCACATATGTTGGGTAGTAATCTAGCCTGAAAAAACTCCATACAAATATAGGCTAATGGAGCAGAAAGACAATTACCCATGCTCATGCCAAATATTTGTTTGTAAAACTTTCCATTTACTTTAAAAATATTGTCAGTAACGCATAACTCTATCAATTTGAGAAATGTATCATGTTCAATAGTTAAATCTAACAGAGGCAACTTATCTTTAAGGATTGAAAGTTGGTCATTCACTGGTACTCTAGTGAAAAGTGAATTTACATCAAAACTTTATTAATTCAAATGGTTCAATGTGTATCTTAAGTTTATCAATTAAATCATTGCTGTTGTGTATATATGAGTTAGATATCTGGCCTGTAAGCGGGGATAGCATCCTAACCAACCACTTGGATAATTTGTACGTAACAGAACCCACAGAACTCACGATAGGAAAGCATTGCAACTCAGATTCAACAGCACAAGTATAAAATTAGAAGAGCATCTGAAAGCAGTGCACTTTTCGTTCATATGAGGAACAATAATCATCCCGTAGATTGGGAAAACAGTTTAAAATTGTATAAATCATCATGTGTCACAGAAGGACTTCTAGTTGAAGCAAGTTTGATTTGAGAAATTAATTCTTTAAACCTGGTTTGACATGACTAGTTATGTCGCCCGTTCTTATAAGCTCTTCTTATGTTTGTTGTGTGGTTGGTGTGTGGAGATAGTGGATGTCATCCTTTTGACCAGACCTCATGTTTGTAAGATCACCCTCTGTAAAATAAGCTCTCTCTCAGTCTTTGTAATTCAGTTGCCTCTGAAGATGTCTTGAATAAAGAAGAAAGCTAAGGTTCTCCATTGTTTCCCTTTTCCTGTGATTTTATCAATATATATATATATATATATATATATATATATATATATATATATATATATATATATATATATATATATATATATATATATATATATATATATATATATACAACCACAAGGAAAGAAGAAAACAGTTTCCAGCGCTTTCGTGTAATTCACATCTTCAGGGGGTGAGTAAAGACTAAGAAGAGTATTGACAAAGCTTATGTGCATACAAAGGAGGCGAGATCAAATCCCAGGGGACAGCAGTGTCCAATTTATTCAGGTCATAAGGTAAAGTGACAACCTCCTCACCTGGTTCAATCTTCTTAATCACAAAATTGTCTAGTTTGTACATGCCATTACTCAATTCATGTTGACAGATTCGGTATGTTTTAATGGGACTACATTCTATAATGATACTACTGACAATTGAATTGCAAGATAATATTTAGGAGGCATTTTCCCAGTCAATGCAATGCTTTTATCTCTCATATGAATGAACAGGCATTGGATTCCAACCTGTCCCTCACTATTTTATGCTGTTTAAGTCTAGATAAGATCTTTACCTGTCTGGGCTAGTAGAACATATTACATTCCTCAATTCCTCTACAACTGAAAACCTGGAGCATAAATGTAACATTTAGTTCTCGAGTACTGTAAAACAAATGTTAATTAAGAACTCCCTGTGAATGAATTACCCTGTCTTATTTCGCATCTTGCTTGAGTTAAAGGTGTTGGAAACTAATGATTCATTTTACACAAAGTGTTGTTCGCATGTTTCGAAAGTAAAGATTCATTTTACACGAGCTGTTGTGAGAGGCCGTGACCTGCCTCGCCACTGTGAGTACGATTAATTATTAATATATATGTATATAGTGTTTTTAGCAAATAAGTGGCATTCTTATCTGGTGTTACAAATAAATAGTTTAGTTAGTACGAAACTAAGGACGTGCTACTGCAGTGCGGTAGTGTAACGTCCGACTCTCAAAGAAGAAGTTACATAAGAACATAAGAACATAAGAAAATAAGGAGTCTGCAATAGGCCGGTTGGCCCGTGCATGGCAGCGCCCTGTCGAGAGTTACTACCACTCTCTATCATCCATGGAATCATCAGTCTCCTTTTAAATCCTTCAGAGTTCCTTCTGCACTTACTTGGCCAAAGTTGCTAAGCTTGTTCCACGATAATATTTGTGAACCAGTTTCTTCCCATTCTCCTAAACCTAAACTTATCCAACTTGGAATCCGTTGCTCCGAGTCCCATCCTGCCTCGGAAATTATAAGAACTTTATCTATATCCCCTTTATTCATTCCTTTCTACCCACTTAAATACTTCTATCATCATATCTCCCCACCTTTTCGTCTTCTAGGAATGCAAGTTAAGTTTCTTTAACCTATCCTGGATATGGAAGGTTTCTAAGTCCCTGAATCATTTTTTCTCTATCTTTCGCTGCACCGGACTCTAGTGAATTTATATCCATTCTATAATAGGGGCACCAGAACTTTCGAACCGCATAATCGAGGTGCGGCCTAATCCAGCGCAAGATATAGTTGCAATAAGACCCTGTACTCTTGTTACTACACTTCTAGATATAAAACCCAATACTCTGCTTGCCTTATTTCGGAACATTAACGCACTGTTTTCTAGGCCATAGGTCCTGGCTTACAAGGCGACCCCAGGCTTCTTTCACAAGTCGACTCTCTAGGTTGATGTTGTTCAGGCTGTATACATTATAAGCATTTATAGTTCTTCCAGCATTATTAAGACGCTGCACTTGCTGGTATTGAATTTCATTTGCCATTTTTCAGACCAATTTCTGCAGTTTATTTAGATCCTCTGTAATGCATTGCATCCTGCCCTGAATTACATTTGTTGTTCTATTTTGGTGTCATCCGCAAACTTGCTTATGTCACTGTTGACTTAGTATCTAAATCGTTTATGTAGATTATGAACAAGAGTGGGCCTAGTACTGACCCCCTGGGGGAACCCCACTGGTTACA